CTTTTTCTTCTTGTGGTGTAGGTGAGAAAAAGGCTCAATGATTTCATGTTTTGAAGTCAAAGTTGTTTTCAAATGAAGCTCGATTTGTCAATGTGTATACTTGAAATGTAGGTGTGAGTTAGAAGACCTAAATTTCTCTTTTATTTCATGTTTTTGGACACTATAGTGTGTTCTAGGATTAGTACTTATAGTATATAATTTAATGATATTTATGGCACAACTCTAATAAGTAAATAAATAAATACATGCTTAATAGTAGTTTAAATTGGTTTCATGATTAGGTTTAGGGTTTAAGTAAATAAATTGGTTCCAATAAGAAATTAAAATGCATTTAATTGATAATTAATGATTAATTGATTAAATAAATTAATTTTTTTCTTAATTTAAATAGCTTCCAAATAGTTTAACATAATAAATAGCTTCCAAAGAGCTTAAATTGAGATTTTAATCAAAGTTTTTAACTAGGGACAAATTTATGATTTTCCAATTAATAGACGAGTTATAAAATAATGTTTTGGAGGAATTATAGATTTGATAAAATGATTTATGGTTAATGGTATGTAAGTTTAAAAATGGTTTACTAACTAATTAAGATTAAATTGATTATTCCATAATAAATTTGAATTTTTATAATAATAATTAGAGAAATAAAGTGGTAATTTGCTATGTCTTATACCAAAATTTTATATAAAAATATTTATTTGGTGTTTTCCATAAATGAGTTTTATGCCTATTTTAGTAACTATATTCATAGGTTTTACATAACTGATTTCTATTAAATATTGGTTTTAAGGAATTTAAAATGAATTTGAAAGATATAATTAATTTTTTTATATTATGGTTGGACCTAATTTTAAATTAAAAGAACTTTTGTTGTGAATAATAATAATTTAGATAGTAAAGGGTATGGGGTTTAGTGTCTCACATTGATTGTACATGGAATATGAGGCATTACCAGTAATATTCTCAATCTACTTTAAGTCTTGGGTCAAAGGTGTTATAGTATAAGTTACTAACTCAGACTTATTTTTAAGTTATAACATGTATGGAACAATTAATTAAGTTATATCTCTAAATCCTACAAGTTTGTCAAGCTTAACAAACTAGTCACTACTCTTTGTTACCTAACTCGCTTAAGCCCTTAATGTTTTAATTGTCATGCTTGGGTCCCTTAGTCATTTACACACTCGCAACACTTAGTAACATATATTTATAGAACAAAACATTCATCAATGCAAACACAAAGTTTAACACAAATGCAAACACAAGGCATATTATACACATACTTTAGTAAAATGACTACACACACATGCATAAGAATGTGTACACATACTTAACAAACTAACCATATACGTAATTGCATAGGAAAGTTTGAAGTCTTGGGTGTTACAAGTAACCAATGCTAGCACCAATAAAGCGACCACTAAGATCCGCACCACTACACACTAGCATCAATAACTTGATAAGGACCAATCATTTCTCTTCCTCGATTAACTAAAATAAATCAGTCTTCAAGTCTCATTTGGAAGTGAATCCTTCCTAAGCGCTTTGCTTTCACAGAGACAGACCATTCTATACGAAAAACCCTGGGGTTGGATGAAGTGAGAGCTAGGAATCTTTGGTCTTATCCTTCTTCCCTTTGACTCAAGTTGGTAAGGGAAAAATCCCAATATACTGCTATTCCATTTGAATAATCTACCATGCTTGCCCTTCAAACCAAAATCTAGAGTAGTCTGACTAACATAGATTAACCATTTGCATCAGCATAATTTTTATGCTCTATTATATTGAAATTTCTAGTGTTTATTGTATTATATTAGAATAATTAAGATCAAGATGATGGTTTTGGGTTTTGTAGGAAAAACGATGAATCGAGCAAGGAAATCCAAAACTAAAGAAAGGAAGAGAGAAGCAATAAAAGAGGCTTAAAAGAGTCACATGACTATGTGTGATACAAGAAGATATAGCTATTGGTCGTGTGATACTAAGAAGAGAACCATGTGGATGTCCAACATAATTAACTTAGACTTTCCGAACTTCTTATAGGTTTCCTAAAGCCTTAAAGTTGGATTTGGAAGAAGTGGTCTTCAAACAATTTTTAGAGGATATCTCAATATTTCTAAAATGATATAATGGATCAAAATCCAAATTTTTTTGGGCCTCTAAATGATATTTATTTTTCTTTTCTAGAAAAATAATATAAATCCCATTTGGAGTCCAACTAAGTTGTGGAGTTTAATTCATATCTAGAGTTTCAGAACTCCAATTGATGTAAGACCAATCCCATAGAATAATTAAGATTCTTACCTATAAGTCTTATGAAAGAATTGAGTCACAATAGGTTATTATCTTCTATGAATTTAGCTATAAAGTGAAATCCTAAAGTCGAGCGAGACAGGTTAAGTCGGTGTTAGTATTTTGCTCATAACTTAATCTTTAAATATCTAATTGATAGAAGCCTTAATGCGTTAGAAAGCTAAGAAAGAGGGATACAACTATCATAGGAAACATAAATCCTAATTCAGCTTGTATCAAGTTCATTCAAGCTAATTATTTAGAGACAAAGGATAAAATGCGAGATTCCACATGGACGAAGCTTTTGACATGGGATGAAGGTAAAAAATCATATAGATAGAAGTTTTTAACATAAGATGAAGGAAAACATCACACATCCATGTCCTTTAGTCAAACAAGCCATGTATCACAACAAACAAGCCATATAAGGCTATTATATGTGTGTCGTAACCACTGTCTTTTATCGTAAATAGAGAAGTTAGGGTCTCACCTTAATTATTCTCTTATTCTAGAGGGATCCCCATCCTTTTTGCAGCCACCATTCATAGAAAATCTCTCTTTGTAATTCATTATAAGCAACTAAACTACATTCTTGGTTGAATCAAGTTGAAGCTTTTGGTTAATTGTTGTGAGATTATGAATTTTATTTTTAAACTTATTTTATTTAGGTATTTTATGTTTTTCTATATTATTGGTTTATAATTATGTGACTATATTGATTAGAATGTATGTTAATTATTTGATCATATTAACTTATTGCTAGCTAAGTATTCAAGTCCATGTAATTACTTACCTAAACTTAACTCGTGATAGTAAATAGGGGTTGATGACTATTTTTCAAGTTTTTTTCAATCCCTTGAAAAAAATAGAGCTAGGTTAAATCTTCTATAGCAATAGGAAGGTGGATTAGCTTTACCTATCTTTCTCTTATTCATGTGGTTATTGGATTAAATCTATTTAGCATTAGTAGGTTGTTTAGTAGCTAGGAAATTAATCAAGTATTATATATTCGAGTTAACGACGAAGTAAGGAAAGACTAAAGATAACATACATGTTGTTGTCTTATGATGAACATTCATGTTTAAGATCGGTTAATTATTTAATCAATGATCAATGACCAAACTAAAAGTGGATACCGAAGTTCAATCAAAGTTTCTTTATTATTTTTATTTCAATTTATTTAATTGCTTTCAAACACCAAATATAAAACCCCCTTTTACATTACAAGAATATTCAAATTAAAGAAATGATGAATTAAGCTTTCTTCCTTGTGGGTTCGACCCTCACTTAGCCTAATTACACTCGTTGTGGTTAAGGTTCCATGAGGGCATTATAAATTACTAATTTTTTAGCGAGTACAATATGTCAATCAAATTTTAACATCGTTGCTAGTGAGAGATTACTCTTAAATTAATTATTTCTTAGTATTTTGATTATTTTTATCCAATTTTTTTTAACATGACTTTGTATTCTCAACGAGTTTAGCTCTCAATATGACCTACAATCCGAGAGATTCGATGAGGTAAACACATCTACTATTATGCAATAGATTTCTAGCCTAACCTCTCGAGTGTGTCAAATGATTATAGAAAATGTACATCAAGTCCGTAATTGTGGCTTCGATGATTGGGCATTCATTCGATAGGTGCCCAATGCTATGAGGGAACTTTCAAAACATCCACAATAACAATATGATCCTTACACCAAGCACTTGCACTAGCTATGAAAATCAAGTGGTTGACAATGTAATTCATAATTATAAAAAAATATGAACAAATACAACCATAATTTGAAGTTAGACAAGTTACTCTAATTTTAGGATATTGTTAATTCTCTTATAACCGATACTATGTAATTTCAGCAGGAAACAAGACCTAGCCTTTGAAATTTGAACACTCGAGTTATCAATTGGCTACATTAATAAGTAAGGTAGAGGCACAATCATCAAGCAACTTTCCCTTCAAAATAGAAAAGAGTTCGAAAAAACATTCAAGTGCAACAAGTAAGGGAGAAGAAGTGTTAAATAAAGAGCAAGTTGTTAAAGATTTCATAATAGAGCTAACTTATAATGAAGAGCCAAACAAGATTGTGGTTGCTGATGAATCGACCAATCAAGAAAATGATTTTGAGCAAGTGGACTTGGATTAGTTTTATTTCTATTTTTATTGTTATTGCAAAATACCAAAAAAAAAAAAAATGAAAAAATGAGCAACAAAAAAAGTGAAAAATGGTTAACAAAACAAAATTCCAAGTAAAAAGGAAAAGAAAAAAAATCAATTGAAACAATTAGCTTAGGATTAATTCTAAACAAAGAGAGGGGAGTTAATTGAGGAAAATGGGAAGTTTGAAAATAATAAAAAGGGGCAATTGAGGGCCTAATTAAAAAAATTAAAACTTATGCCCTTTAATTAAAATTGGAAGGGGGTATAATTGGAAGAAATCAAAAGAAAAAGTCCTAATTAATTGAGATTTAAGGACCTCATCAAAACAAACAATTAAATCGAACATAAATCGATGGATTGTAAGAGCTAATGACCACAATGAATTTTGCCATAAAAAAACCCTACCTTTAAGAAGCCCCCATGCATTTTTTATACCATCCATTGTTCATTTTTACCATTTTAAAAAAACCCTTCCAGCCGCCTCTCTCTTCTTCACTCCTACAACTTTGAACTCACCTATACAAACCACCATATCTCCCCCTCTCAAGCCCCATGCAACGCCTTTCTCTTACCTATAACCTTTACAACGACCCCAACATCACGAGCCTCCTTCCTATTCTAGCCGAATAAATACACACATAGCTCTCAACCCTCAAAGCCCCCTATAAAAAACTAACCTCTAAGCTTCCAAACTTTTTACGTGTATGCTTACTCTTGCCAACCAACTCTTGTACAATAGCCACTCGCGTGTAGTAGACCCATCGCCCAACCGCACCCCACGGTCGCACCTACTAGCACGCCTCTATAGGCTAGTCTCGCACACCCCATTTTAGGCTAGTCTCACACGTGCCATTAGCCCTCCGGATCTAGGCTAGTCTCGTACGTGCCCACACCATGCCGGGCGCCTCTCGTATGGGCCCACAACCCCTTCTTTACGCGAGCGACTTGTAAGCAATAGGCCACTCACATGCCCCTTTTCGTGGCCACAACTTAGCACACCCATAAGCCTCCTAGTGAGCCGGTGCGACCAACAAGCCCTTACACATTAATGGCTTCGTAGCCTCTCACAACCAATCGGTAGTAGGTAGCTCCTTGTCTTTTTTGCCAAACCCGGTAGCAATCGAGTCCTTTAAAAAGGAGGGAAACATAAAAACAAAAAGACAAAGGAACCAAAATAATAAAAAAACTTTTATTGATGATTTGTTACTCGTTGGTTGGTTTATGTTTGTTTTGACGAGAAAAATACAACAAGCAAAAGTCACCTTGGGTTTTCAAGAAAGTTTGTAAAATTTCAAGCACTTTGTAAAGTTTACTACAAATTTTGGAGTATTTACATAAGTAATGAGTTTTTGGTCATTTTAATAGGACCCATAATACATGTTGCCAACGAACGAGTCACTTTTCTTTCTCGACTAACTATATAATTAGTTTTCATTGGGACCGAAAGAGTAAGACCGGCCTTATTTTGGACATTAAAATTATAAAACTTTTGGATAAAATTCTAAAACCATTGCATTCTTTTCTTGAAAAATGAGGGTTAAAATGACAAGATTATTTAATTATGTAAATGAAATTACTTGCGTGACACTTAAACATTCACATATTTATTATGTTTGAAATAAGTATTCCTATCATTAGCCATTCTAGACAAACTATGCTTGTTTTACGAGTTTTATACCTGTTTGCCTAAATGGGAAGTTGGTTTTGTTTTTATGGGTGATTGACTACCTATGTCCGATTGTGTGAATGAAAATGTTGAATTTTGTTTAAATGCTCATAATTTAAATATACCTTGAAGTAAACATTATTCTCAAAAGGACAAACTATATTGTTTTACTATTTTAAACCCGGATGTCTAAGTGAGAAGTTTGTGTTTGTTTTTGTGGTTGATTGATTAACCGTGTCCGATTGCAATGTGGAAATGAAGCCATCAATGGGTTTCATAATCATTTTATCTCGCTTTTTGTACTTCTTTCCTATTTTATGTTTCTTGTTTTCTCGTTCTAGTTTTTTGTTTTCTATTTTTTGTTTCATAAAAAAAATCTATCGGTAACCTTTTACTTATGTGACGAAGCCATCGATTGGTTTCATAATCATTTATTTACTTCTTGTATCTATTTTCTATTTTCTAGTTTCTTGTTTACTATTTCAGCTTTTTTGTTTTCTATTTCTTGCTTTTTTGTTTCATCAAAACAAATCATCGGTAACTTTTCACTTATGTGACGAAGCCACTTAGGTCGATTTCATAATCATTTTATATGCTTCTTGCATTTATTTCCTATTTTATGTTTTATGTTTTTTTGTTTCTTGTTTTCTATTCTAGTTTTCTGTTTTTTATTTCTTACTTTTTTATTTCATTAAAACAAAGTTGTTGGTAGCATCCCATTTGAGTTATGAAGCTATCGCTAAGTTTCAAAATCATTTTATCTACTATTTATACCTATTTTTTGTTTTATGTTTCCTATTTTTTGTTTGCTATTTCTTATTTCTTGTTTTATCAAAACGAAGCTGCCCGTAGCTTTCCATTTGTGTGATGAAGTCACCGATGATTTTAGAATCATTTTATCTATTTTTGTACTTATTTCTAGTTTTATATTTTATTTTTCCTATTTCTTGTTTTTTGTTCTTGTTTTTTTGTTTTTTGTTTTCCTCGTTTCTTGTTTTTTATTCTTTTTTTTCTCGTTTTATGTTTCCTCTTTCTTATTTCATAAAAAAAAGTGGCAAATGGATTTCCATTTATGTGATGAAGTTATCAATAGCTTCCAAATTGATCATTTCCTCCTCGTTTAAGCTATATAAAGTTGTCGAGGCTTTCTACTTTCTAACAAAGTTATCGACAACATCTTAAATCCATGACTCGTAGTCATCGGTGGCTTCTCACTTGTGTGAGTGAAGTTCTCGATGACTCACTGTTCATGCCAATAAAAGGCTATTTATCTTGAGAAATTCACTTTTTTATTGGTAACGAGTCGTCTTCATTAATGATTAGCTGAAATTCCAACCTTTTTCATTTTTCCTCTTTAGGTGGGGAGTATTGGCCCCTTAAACCGGCTTGAACTCCCAAACTACCCCGTTTCATATTTTTAGAAAATAAACTCATTTAAATTGGCATAGAAGCATGACACAATAAAAATTAGATTTTTATATTCATAGGCAAATAATGTAACCTACCTTAGGTAGGAGGAAATGATGATGATATTACATCTTCCTCCTATGTAATTGACCCCTTACCTAAATATCTATGCAAACAAGTACATTTAGGGTTTTTTAGTTCTCTCCAATTAGCTAGTCGACGTTGAAAAAATTGGCAACTCCACTAGGGACAATGCCATGCAAGGGTCAAGCTTCGAATAATTGTATTTTTATTTTTTGGTCATTTATTATGCCTCTTTGCCTATTTTCTTTAAGTGAGTAACTATAATTTATTTGTTTGTCTACTTTTTATGGTAAAAATGTATTTGTATATATGTGTGTTATTTATTTTGTTCTTCCATGTAGGTTTAATTATTGAATTTTTAGCCTTTATTTCATATTTTGAGACTCAATATGGAGTCGTGCCTTCACATATTACACTCTCTAATTTTAAGGATATAAGGAGGAATTTTTAGTGCCCTAATGGGTTTTGCCCTAGGTAATACTCACAACACCTCAAATCTTTTGAAAAATTACCACTATCACGATAGGTAATCGATAGTCCTTATGATTACCATTTTCACACTTGGTTAGCCTCATTTTTATCATGCTAAAAGGGACCCTATTAGGACTTAGATAGATTCTACCTAATCATATAATGACTAGAACTAGACCTTAGGATCATATTTTTAGTATAAATTTACTAAGCAAGTTAGATTAATCGAAACCTTAATCGACCAATTGGTCATGAATGTTTCCGGATTGGTGATAAAAGGTTTTAAGTCCAAATTTATGCAATGTTTAAATATCAAAGAAGTTTCATGGCTTGATCAAAATATGCCAAAGGTTATTGATGGAACGTAACTCCATATTTAAACCAATTAACAACTAGGCAATCCATCATATCGGAGTTTTCAAAGGTTATCGATGAAATTCAAATTCATCTTTAAACCAAATTGAATCAATGCAAAAGGATCAAATAATTAACGATTGAATTCTCTTATCACCCCCACATGAAAGCTATTGCATATCCGAGTCTTGAATGTCTTCATTTATGTTAGAATATTATTTATGTTATTGTATTTTGTTATTTTTCCTATTTATTTAGAAAAGCATAAGTCATCCAATCAAAATTGCATTCCCCACAAGAGATTGACAACTCAAGCCAAAACAAGAATGAACAATGAAGAAAGGGCTCAACTTGAGCAAAGCCAACCGAAGGAGTTAAATGCTTTGAAAGCAAAAATGTTTAGGATAACTACTTTACTCGAGCAAGATATGCAAATTCGTGCATCTACTAAAGTGCCTTCTAGTCAAGAAATGGGTTAATCATTTACTATCCTCGAGGTGTTCACTCTCATGTCGACACCTACCACTCAAGTGGTAATTTCGATGACACCTTTCTCTACTCTTTATCAAGGGGTTATCGGTATTATGAATCTAACCGATCAACTATACTAAGGGCATGTATGAGCCGGCCCATCCCAAAGTTTTGGCTCGATTCTATAAAAGCCGCATACTTTGTAAAATCAAGCAACTCTTATGGTTAATTTGACTGCTAATGAAAAATTAGAAGAAAAAAATGAGTTTAGAGACTTGAACCGAGAAGCTCAATACCATTAAAAAGCATCTCGGAGCAATTGAGGATGTGGACTTGCATAACCCACCTTTTGGTAGTAGACGGATGCTTGATTTTGAATACCATGATTCCTAAAAAATGCCAAAATTCTCCAATCACAATATCAAAGTTTATCTAGGCTTCTCCAACCATGCCATTGTTAATGGATTGAATATGTTGTCTTTGAATAATATTAGGGGCAATAATAAAATGACAATTCTGAAATTTTCATACCTGGTTTGTATGGCATGTAATCTCCTATTAACATTAATGAGAAACCATTCAAGTCTTAAGCTCTTATTCATGTTGAATCCTTCTATAAGTTTCCTAAAAAAAAGTGGATATGACATTGATGATTGCCATGAATTTCATCAAGAGGTACAAACGATGCCGATTCTAGGCACCTTGAGAGTAGAAAGAGGGGCAAAAATATCGGAGAAGTCTTTATACATTACCGATTTATACAACAAAGACCTAAGGTTGAGCCAACCATCTTATGCTATGGTAGTGAACATTTTGGGGGTAAAGAAAACCATTGCTAAGAATGAAGTCATATAGTCTTGGCTAGTGCTTGATAGTGAAAAAATGATGTTGCTTTCTACTAACACATTTAAGAATGTTCTTGATGTCGATGAGCTTATCTATGAGATAACCTAGGGAAGGAATTAAATGACTGGTTTAATCAATAAGCTCCTTTTGTTTCCAAGGCCAAGTAATCTCCTTATTGCATTTATCTATCATGCTTTCATATGATGTTAATTTACAAAATAGTGTAAATTTTCTTCTCAAAATACCACATTTGCCTTCTTTTTTCTATTATGTTTTATTCTCATTTTCACGTCCTTATGGGACATTCGAGTAGGATCATATCTTAAAAAGAAAAAACACCAAGCGATTGTGCTAAAAAAAAGAATGGCTTTCATGACTCTAATTATAATGTGCATGATAATGAATATGAAGAGAGCATTCAAAGCTTGTTAGAGAAGCATGAATATGGCTTGATTTTATGAATGAGATCTTACTTTATATCAAATTTTTGGATTTCACGTATAAAAGTGTTATGATTTTCATGAATTGGGTTGTTTTTTTTTTTTAAAGAAATTCATATTATCTTGGCATGATTTTATTATTGATTTGAAATTAAGAGATATTTATTTGAAAGTATCACTTGTCATTTTATGTTATCCAAATCAAAATGAATAAAATTACAAACTCATTCAAAATCTTTCAATATTGATCAACTTTCAAAAAAT